CTGCGACTGGCCCAAAGTCACCCAGTTGCCTCCATGGCTGAGCAGGGACCAGAACCCAGATCGTCTGAGTCCCAGTCCTGCACTCTTAACCACTACACCACACTGGCTCTCATTGGACTGGAGAGCTGGAGATCCGGGTTCTAGTCTGTACTTGGCCACGAAACTCACTGGGTGACTTTGGGCTGGTCATTCACGGCCTGACTACCTCGCAGGGTTGTAGTTATGAGGATAATGTGGAGCCATGTAAGCCAGCTTGGGTTCCTGACAAGAGAGGAAAATGGTGGGATATAAATGCAATGTAATACTACTACTACTAAGTGGAAGGCTTAAGCACCTTCTTTCACCTTCTTTGCATCTCCCCGGTCGTGGAATGTGTGCCCTGAAAAAGACTTATTTGCCGCACATGTCACAATCTTGTTGGTTTTTGGCAGCAGGCAAAAAAGTGGCAACTGGCTGAGAGCATGTCCAGAGGAGCGTGTGGGCCAAGCTGGGACGGATTCTCAGCCGTGGGGGCTGATGGGATATGTGCCACCATTTGGAGGAAAGATGGAGGTGCGTGGAAACTACCTGGGAGAATACAAGGTGAGGTATCATGCCCTGTGGTGACCACACATCATGGTAGAGCACGATGCTTGAACGCACTTGTTGAGTACAATTATATCTAGTGTGAAATCCAGCCTTTTAGGGCAGGAGAGTTAAGCAAAGCACCCTCTAGTGCTTCACACTCAAAAAAAGGTACAAATACAAATCCCACCGATGGCAACCTAAAAGCATTTAATGCCAATACTGAAGCAGCAGTAGTGGACACAGAAAGAAGCTTGTGTTTGTTAGGTTCAGTTAGAAAACTGAACACAAAATGAACATTTCACTGAGGCGGGGAAATGTATTTCCTGGCAGTTAGGACTCCCAGGGCGTGGAATGGGCTTCCGCGGGAGGTCGTTGAGGCCCCATCATGAGGATGTTCAAGGATCGGCTGGACATGCACATGGTGGGCATGTCGTGAGCGGAGCCGGCTGGAGCCGGGGGTCAGACTAGATGGCCCAGGAGGCCCCTTCTGACTCGCTCAGTTTCTGTGTTTCTGTCTTTCTCTGCAAATAGGCAAGGAGAGCAAAGAGCAAAGCAAAAAGCACCACTTCCTCTCAGAGTCATAAACTGTTCAGTGCAAACAAACACACATTTCAAAAGGGTTTTTTTCTCAAGCTGTGACCCCAACATGCGATTGTGCCACCAGTGCAGTTCTGGTGGAATATACAACATGAGCAATGTTAGAACAGGGCAGAGGGAAACCATCTAAGAGGACGCAAGAATGCCGGGGGGCCCAAAGGCAAGAGTTCCTGCAGCCTATTTGCACTCGACTGATTTCAGAGAGTGCCCCCTGGGAAGACACCAAGGCCTTCCTGGCCTCCTTCGAGCAGGTGGCCACGGCCTGCCGGTGGCCTAGAGCAGAGTGGGCAGCCCGGCTCCTGCCGGCACTGAGCGGGGAAGCCAAGCAGGCCTTTCGAAGCCTGGAGGCCGGAGACCGGGAGGACTACGGGAAGGTGAAGGCGGCCATCTTGCGAGGGGAGGCCCTGAGAAGGGAGGTGCAGCGCCAGCTCTTCCGGCAGTTCTGCTGCCAGGAGGTGGAGGACCCCCGGCGGCTGCACCGGCAGCTCCAGGAGCTGTGCCGGCAGTGGCTGAAGCCGGAGCGGCACAGCAAGGAGCAGATCCTGGCGCTGCTGATCCTGGAGCAGTTCCTGGCCAGCCCGCCGCCCGAACTCCAAGGCTGGATGCTCTGCATGGGAAGTCGTAAGACTGATCTCTGTCCACATGAACATCCCTTTGGGATTTTGTATTTTAGGGTTGCACTTATAAGGTGAGAAATTGATCCATTGAAGGATCGAGGGTAGCACTCTCAGGTAAAATGAGACACGTTTGCTATCATTCCCTGATTTTGAAAGAATAGTGTGGGCTAGGGTATTGCATGCAGAAAGCTAGTTCCTCAGTGGCTAGAGGTTTTCAAGGTAAGAGCCACATCCAAGATGTTCTTTTTCCAAATAAAATGAATAAAAAAGAGCCGTACTTCTAGGGGAGCATATCTTGCAGCTTTGTTTTAGCTTTCCAAGACACGGTGCTAAAGAGACCTCTTTCTGAAGGCTGAAGCATTCTTCAGACACCTCCCTCCGGGGCTGCTCCCACTTCAAAACCATGGTACACTCCTTTCAAAGGTCTACTCTTCCCTGAGGGCTAAAAACCCATTGGATGAAATGCTGGCATTTCGTTGTCCCTAAACCTGGAGGGGGGCACTCCTGCTGAGTATTACCCCAAGGCACGTGTCCCCAGAGGAAGAGCCCCTCAGGATCAGACCAAAGTCCACCCTCGTGCAGCATCCCATTCATAGAGTAGACAAACAGCAGCCCCATTGGGAAGTCCCACAAGCAGGCTGGGGGTGTCACAGCAGCCTCTCACCCAGTTCCCCACCATGTGGTGTACGTAGGCTCAGGCTGATACGAGAGGCAGCACAGAAACAAAGCAAGTCAGAAGGGGTCTCCTGGGGCATCCAGTCGGACCCCCTGCTTCAGCTGGTTCCACTCATGGAATACCCAACATATGAGTGTCCAGCCTATCCTTGAACACCCTCACTAATGGGACCTCAACCACCTCCTGTGGAAGCCCGTTCCATACCCTCGGGGTCCTGTCAGGAAGTGCTTCCTGGCATCCACCTTGAATCTTGGTTCCCTGAGTTTTGCTCCATTGGAACATGTCCTGCCCTCCACTGCAGGGGAAAGCAGGTCCCTACCCACCTATGTGACACCCACTCACGTACCTGTATGTTGCCAACAGATCCCCTCGGAGTCTCCTCTTCTCCAGGCTGAAAAGACCCAGTTCCCTCAGTCTCGCCTCATCCCCCATCCCCTGCAAATCGGCCACCAACCTTGTGGCCTTACGCTGCACTGACTCCAACCTGACTATATCCTTCCTGTAACGAGGGGCCCAAAACTGAGCACAATACTCCAGTTGTGGGCGCACCAGAGTCGAATAGAGTGACAGTAATACCTCTCTCGATCTAGAAGCCACGCTTCTGGCTATGCAACCAGGGGTGGCATTCTCCCTCTTGACCACCGCATCACACTGCTGACTCATGTTTGGCCTGCAGCTGAACAGCGCCCAGAGATCCCTTTCACAAGTGCTGCTCTCCAGTCACTTGTCCCTGATCATGTACCTGTGACATCCATTCCTATGCGCCAAGTACAAGACCTTGCACTTATCCACACTCAAAGCCATCCTTTTGCCCCCAGCCCACTTCCAGTCTGTCCAGGTCCTTTTGGATCTGGAGAGCCTCCTGCTCCTCCGTCCCCCCCCCCCCCCCCCCCCCCCTATGGTATTGTCTGTGAATTTGGTCAGCAGACTGGTGATCCTCTCTTCTTCTATTGATAAAGAGGTTGAGCCAAATTGGTCCCAGAGCTGAGCCCTGGGGGACTCCACTTGTCACTGGCTGTCACCCTGATGATTCCCTGCTGAGAGTCACCCTCTGCTTGAGATTCATCAGCCACCTATGACTGTCACAAGGACTTGCTTATGTGCATGACAAATAAATTGTCTCAACCTGGTAATGTTTATGCTTTAGTCTGGTGGACCAGCGGGTCAAGCATCCTTCTTGGCTCCATTAACATTCCTAGTTTATTGATCATGACCATGTTTACATCCCAGATGTAAACTCTTTTTAAAATACAATTTGTAGTATAAAAAAGGATATTGACTTAACTGCTTAGCAAGGTTAGGCTGGGAAATAGGTCCCAACATTTGCCAGACTGCAAGCAAGTCCGTATCACCCATGTTTTGTTAAGAAAGTTCAATGTTGAAAACAAGCACAAATATGACTGCACCACTTATGCTGCTAAATACCCAAAGTGGTAGAGAATGAACATTTTTCTTTAATACATGCAACGGATAAACCAATGCACCTCAATTATTTTGCAACATTTACGCTAGTGGAAATCTCAGTGCAAGGGGAATGATTTTTCTTCTATTTTTTATGATGAATTCCAAATCCGGAATAACCTCTCCTGCAGTTCAGTCTCAGCAGAGTACCATGAAAAACAGCATAAGGATAGTAAGACCTGCTAGAAAAGGGCTTTCCTGCATACCGCCGAATCCAAGGCTGATAATTGTTGTGAGCTAGGTGTTCCCTCCGCAGCAAGACGGACTCTCCGGCACTTCTTGTAATGTCTTTATTCTACATAAAAGTCTCTGAGCATACACAGAGAAAGATGCTGAACCCTCTCTGCCCCGCTTCATCGGAAGCTTTGCTTAGGAACCCTTCTCTGCCCGTCTCGGGAAGGAGGCGCTCTGTGAAACTGGGCACACCTGCATTCTTCACTCCGAGACCCCACCAGCTGGGCCACCCTGCAGCTGTGACAAATGCCTTTTGGGCCCACCTCCTCAGGAGGCTGGAGTTCTCCCTCAGAGTCTCCCCATCCCAGGATGATGTTCTTTGTTCCCGTGGGGAGCTTGACTGGGCCCTTCGACTTGCCTTGAGCAATCTTGTCCTGAGCAGCCACAGGTGACTACAGAGAAACCGACAACAACCATTTCGTTATCAGAGTCAATGCTGTCAGCCCTGCCAGAATGGTCAGCTTCTCATGCATGCCTGGGAATCTTGCCAGAACATGCACATACAACAATAAGAAAAAATATTTCCTGTTGTTTTAACCAAAGCAGCATTCCTTTCCTCCTTAAAAAAGTTATTGTATTGGTCTTGTTAATTACACATGTGTATTCACCACTGGAATATGTACTTTCTGCTTTTACAAAAGTATTGCAAAAATGGAAACTATGCTAATCTAAGAAAATCCCTTGTTCTAGGAATGTTTATGGTCTGTACATCATTCTTTTTCAGTATCTACACTGCAGAAGCCTTCATCCCCTTTTTGGCTTTTCCACATTAGTCATGTAATGACCTGAAATTGAAATGGATTTAATTGGCATTGTTACCACTTGATGGACACACAGTAATGCAACACTTTGAGGGTGCAAAAGACATTTATTATGGCACAAAAGTTAACAAACTGGCACTTGTGGGTTGCATAGGAACTCACCCGCTCTGCTGTGACATGCCTGAATAAGCCCTGGTACATCAGGCAAGTGGCTGAAGGAAGCTCGGCTGGGCAGCCATTCCAGTGCCCCAGGATCTCAGATTAAGGACACTTGTTTCTGGCAGGCTCTAGTTTTCTGGAGCACATATTTAGACAAATAGCATCACGAAAGTCAAGGAGCTATGAAAACAACTCTAGGGTAAAATAAATAAAGAACCGATCAGGATTGCGTTATAAAAATATTCTGAACTATAAACATCTCCTAGGTGCCCATGAAATCTCATTACAAAATTAAAAGAATGTGGCTCAACCACAACTTTGCCTTAAAGAAGGTCATCTACAAAAACTCAGTGACTGGATAAGGAGGGCATTAGTCAGAAGAGCAACCAAGAGGCCAGTGGTAATTCCAACAAATTAAATGCTTCGAGAAATCTGAAATGAACTTAAGTGAACCTTTCTCAACCTGTATCCTGGGAATATTTGTGGTATGCATGTTATTATATTTCCCTATTTATTGTTTTTATAGACCATCCATCAATACCCTCCTAGACTGGCATGTCTTTATACAGGGCACCTTCGAGACAGGGTCCCTTCAAGCAGGCACTCTAATCTGAAATATGGGATGATAGTAAATTAATCTCATTCAATATTCCAATTTTCTCTCCCTGATTGTTTTAATGAGCAGTAAGTTCAGATGTGATATGTATCACAGTCCAAACATTTGTATAGATTCTGCACTGGGTGCTTTCCTCAATGAGGAACAAGTTACTTGTTTCTCTTGAAGATCTTTCCACTTCCATCCCTGCATCATTTCTGCAGTTTCCACACTGCGGGAATTTTTGGGAAGTGAGATTTGTCTTATTTCTGAAGCTATTTCAATACTCTGAGTCATGATGTGGATTCTCCCCTGTTTGAGCTCTTTGATGATCAGTGAGAGATATTTTCTGAGAGAAGCTCTTTCCACAGTGCAAACGATGATAGGGTTTCTCTCCTGTGTGACTCCTTTGAGGATATATGAGAGATCCCCTCTGACTGAAGCTCTTTTCACATTCCAAACACTCATATGGTTTCTCCCCTGTGTGAGTCTTTTGGTGTTGATTGAGTGTTGCTTTTGCACTGAAACTCTTCTCACACACCAGGCACTGATACGGTTTCTCCCCTGTGTGGGTTCTCTGATGAGAAATAAGGTGCCTCTGCTGCCGGAAGCCCTTTCCACAGTCCAAACAAGGATAGGGCTTCCCTGCTGTGTGAATCCTTTGATGTTGAGTGAGCTTTTTGTTCTCACTGAAGCTCTTCCCACACTCCCAGCACTGATACGGTTTCTCCCCTGTGTGAGTTCTTTGATGAGAAGTGAGACTTATCTTTTGACAGAAACTCTTTCCACAGTCCAAACACTGATAGGGTTTTTCCCCTGTGTGCATCCTCTGATGTCGCCTTAGACATCCCCTTCGACTGAACTGCTTTGCACACTCAAAACACTGATACGATTTCTCCCCCGTGTGAATCCTTTGATGTTGAGTGAAGTTTTTCTTCTCACTGAAGCTCTTTCCACACTCCAAGCACTTATATGCCTTCTCCTTTGTGTGAATTCTTTGATGAGAAGGAAGGTTTGTCTTCCGAGAGAAGCTCTTTCCACAGTCTAAACAATGATATGGTTTTTCTCTTCCGTGAGTCTTCTGATGTTTTCGGAGAATGTGCCTCAGACTGAAGCTCTTTCCACACTCTAAACACTGATAAGGTCTCTCCCCTGTGTGAATGCTTTTATGTCGGCTGAGAGAACTCCTCTAACTGAACCACTTTGCACACGCCAAGCACTGATATTTTTTCTCCTGTGTGAATTTTTTGATGTCGATTGAGAGCTCCCCTTTCACTGAAGCTCTTCTTATATATCAAGCACTGATATGGTTTCTCCACTGGCAGAGTTCTTTGAAGAGAAGCACAATGCATTGCTGTACAAAAGCTTTTTCCACATTCCAGCCACATATGTGGCTTCTTCAGCGTGCCGATTTTGCAATGCATTTTGTTGTTCGATTCCAAATTCTCCATATGCGTGCAGCTCCACTTCATTTCTTCTCTCTCATTCCTTTCTGCTGATATCATGATATCCATAGAAGGAACGGAGTTGTTCCTCCTGTCCCCCTTGACTTCCATCCTCCTTCTCCACTGCTTGCTATTTCCATACCTGCTGCTTTTTGGTGGCACCCCACCCGGTCCTCTCTCCTCCTCCAATTTCCACCTGTCACCTTCTGAAACAATGACAAGAAATCGGTAAGGGCCCGAATTGGCAATAAAATCTTCAAATACTTGAGCCACTCATATTATTGATTTCGATAGCAAAAAGAATGGAAGCAACTTGGGTGAGATGCTGTTCCTATCACATGGTTATCTGTCCCTGTCGACTGTCACGATCTGTTGGGATGGTTCAATGTGTCTCACTGGGCGCATGGAGCCCTGGGGCCAGCTTTCAGCTGCAAAAAGGGAATAACTCCTGTGTTTTGGGCACATTTACACTACCTCAGACTACCTGATCCCATGGGCTTGATTCCCGGGGCTGCAGACCCCACTAAGTCATGCAGCCATGGACTTGGCTACTTTAACAAATTCTGTTCTGACTGAGGCGGACGAAGTAGCAAGGCAGCCCTGTATATCCATCATGGAAGTCGATTATGGCATCTCCCATTCTGTCAAAAGTGTACCTATTTAACATGACTAAATGATCATACAAGCTGTGTGGGATCAGAAGCGATTGCCCCGACAGAAGCCAATGACCTTCTCATGTGCCTGACTGGGAAATTCTTCACCTTTCAGGAAAGGCATATGCATATCTGCACACTTCACATCTCCAGCAATCAGCAGCTGTGCCAAATCCACCACTTTTATTTCTGAGAATGGTTCTGCACTCTCAGCCCAGAAGAGCTCTTGTCACTACCTGGAAATTTTCTACCAGGTTTCCCCGAAAATAAGACTGGGTCTTTTATTGATTTTTGCTCGAAAAGATGCATCAGGGCTTATTTTCAGGTGATGACTTATTTATTCATGTACAACAATCTACAATTATTCAAATACAGTCATGTCATCTTCTCCTGGAACATCATCATAACTCTCCAAACCCCAAATTGTGTTGCAACAGACACACTAAATGCGTATCATTTACTTTAAGTATTAATCTCAATATTATCTATTTATATCTAATTATATATTAATATTATTTTATAACTCAGTATGTCCATCGTGTGTTGATGTATTAAATGTGTCCGTCTGGTTGATGATCTTAACTGGGGCTTATTTTGGGGGTAGGGCTTATATTATGAGCATCCTGAAAAACCATGCTAGGGCTTATTTTCCGGTTAGGTCATATTTTCAAGGAAACAGGATAGCAACCTTTTTCTGCCTTTGCAATATCAGCCCTGGATCTCTTTCTCTCTTTGCGTGTTTTGAGGAACAAGAATATAAAGCAAGTTACATGCTCTTGGTTTTCAGCTCCCTTGAAGGGTTCCACATGGCTTGTTTTGAACAGGGGCAACCTGGCTCTGTGTGCTGAGTGACCTGCTGCTGTTCCATGGCAAACTGGGGCTGGATTCCACCTACTTTTCAGAGCATTCCAAACCCCGGAGTTCCTTTGCTCCCAGAGAGAGAAGCCGCTCTCATTCCCATCCCTCGGCCTCAAGCTAGGGGTGGGCAGTAATCAGTGTGTCTCCATGTGAAGGAAGGCAGCAGTTTCAAAGGGGACTAAGACAGAAACGGCAGGGTTTGGGTTCTTCCAACAAGCTGCATTTTGGGATGCCGCTGCTGCCTCCATGGAGACCACCCTCCCCAGATTCATGATGGCTGACCGTCCTGCTTCTGGGATTCAGCACGGAGTCACTTTCGCATTTGCTGTTATTCGGTTCTTGTCAATTTCATGAGTGAATCCTGTTTTCTGTTGTCACGACAGCATGAGTCCCAATATTTAGTCTTGATGTCTCACTATTTATTTATTTATTTATTTATTTATTCTTCATCTCAATTTATATGCCACTACATTAGTTCACACCTGGGCTCTCAGTTCTAGTTCACAGGACTAGTTCAAGTTCTCTGCTATCCACAGTTTAATGGAAAGACAGGACTATATATTTTTACATACAAAACAGAAAGCTCCTGGGAGAATTGTACAGCAGGAGTGATAAAAAGCAAGGTAGCTTAACGCCTTTTCAAAGATCACCTTCTAAAGGTGCTTCTCTAAAAAAATAATAGCCACAAAATGGATGCATTCCTTCCCTCCGCATGATCATTTTTGAAGCCAGTATTACAATTAAGCAGGAAAGAGGGAGGCTTACCAAGAGAGGCCACCATCTCATAGTTCTTTGCCACGATGTAGCTGTGCAGAGCTCTCTGACCAGGATCAAGCAGGGCCCGCTCCTCCTCCGTGAAGGACACGGTGACCTCCTCAAAAGTCACCTGACCTTGGATGGGGAAAGAAAAGGTTTCCTTCTAAAGGAAGAACAGGAAGCAAGCTGGATGGGCAGCGTCCTGCAGGACTGAAACACGCCTGCTGTGAAAACCAGCGGCTGGGAAAGGAACAGCCAGAACTGGCTGAGGCCCACCCATCGAGTGTGTGGGCTTCCCAGGAGGCATCTGGTCAGCCACGGGCGGGGTGGGGGGAGCATCTGGGGCCCTGCACAGAATCGCAGCTTTGCAGGAAGCACAGAGAGGGAAAGAGAGGCATCCCCCCTACCTGATTCAGTTCCACTCCACCACGAAGGGGAAGAGTTGGCTGAGGACTCACAGCTGCTAACATTCCAGCTCCTGCAAGACACAGAGGTGATGCGGAGACAGCAGACACGCTTGCCACCAACACCGAGGCGGCCATCCTCAATACCTCCAAAGGAGGCCCGCTGAAATGCAGCTGGAGTCATAGAAACACAGAAACAGAGTGAGTCAGAAGGGGCCTCCTGAGCCATCCAGTCTGATCCCCGGCTCCACCCGTGACATGCCTACCATGTGCATGCCTGGTCTATCCTTGAACATCCTCACCGATGGGGCTTTAACCACCTCCCGTGGAAGCCCATTCCATACCCTCGGGGTCCTAACTCTCAGGAAGTACTTCCTGAAGGTTATTTCCAAGCCAAATGCAGAGTTGCACTGGATGCAATCCAATTTCAGAGTTCCTGCCTATTTCCTCTGCTGGGGAACATAGCTTGGAAGTGTGGGAGACACTGAGAAACAACAATTTAAGATGTGCTCTAGAACATGAGAAAGACTTGAAAGAGACCCGGCCCCGAATTAGCCCTTATCCAGCGAGGAGGTACGTCCATCACCCTCCGGTCTGGTCACCCTTTCAGGAGGACTCCCTCCTGGGTCTAAAGGAAGCTTCTCTGCAACATGGAAATCAGGTCCCGCTTCTGCAAACATGCGTATCACCTGAAACAGCAGTTGAGATTTGAGAGGCAGAGTAAGAGGGATGACAAGAGGAATGAGAGGCACACATGCTGCGGACAAGGCATGGGACTTCCAGACTGGGTCGGGCCATTTCTCGGGCGTGGCCTGTTCCCCTTCCACCCAGCCTGGACTCCTTGAATGTACAGCGCGTGAATTTACTTGGCCCAAGCATTATGCGCTCATCCAGGTGTCAGTGCAATGTGAGAACCAGCACGGTGGCCAGACTGCTGGGCAAGAGACAAAATCTGGGTTCCAGTCCCTGTCCTGCCATAAAAGAGGAGGGTCAAGGTCTCTCCTTGCTGACCCCAGAGTGTAGGACACAGAATAATCAGTTCGAGTTGCGACAACCCAGATTCAGGCTGGACATCAGGAAAAGCTTCCTCACGGTCAGAGCAAGACGACAGTGGAAGCAGCTGCCTGGAGTGGTGGGGGGCTCTCTCACACTAGAGACATTCACAAAGAAACTGGGCAGCCATATTCAGAGATACACAGCAAAGGAGGCATTTCAGCATTCTAGGATGGGGAAAATCTGGGCAAAACATGGCCCCCACCAAATTATTGGTGGTCAGGGGAAGGGGTGGAGCTGGCAGAAGGGCGAGGTCTTTTCAGGACTCCAGGAACCCTGGATCCGGCCCCAACCCAAAGTTCTGGCTACTGATTGCAACATTTGACTTGTATCTTGTTGTTCCAGCCCAGAATGCAACTTGAGGGGGCTAATACCCCCAAATGCTCTTAACTGTATGTCGCCCTACTTGCAGAATTCTGTGGAAATATTCTCCAGGGATCCACAGGTTATGAGGAAATTTCACAGGAAGGAAGCAATTCCTGAGACAGCCTATCCAGACTGGGGATGGTTGGCTTCCTGCCCACCGCCCTTTCCTGTACTGATGGGCCAAGGTGGCAGGGTCAGTGGGAGCCATAGTGGAGTGGGACAGACCCCCACCTGCAGCACAGGAATTAGTCCCAGTGAATAAAGCCAAGACCGACTGCTCTACAAAGCAAGGGAGCGGAGCAACTTCCAGCCTGAGCAATGAATTTCAGGTCAGGGAAACTTGAAAGGTGGGGCTGGAAATGGCAGTTTTAAAACCTCTCAAGAACAGGAATGAAACTTGGCAGCGGGATCTCAATTGCTAGAATAGGCGAAATGTTGCCGAGAAACATCGAAGTGATATTTGCTTAGCATATGAAATCATGTAACTGTTGCAGACTAAAATATTCCAAATTGCAGAGGAGCCATTCAAGAAATCCAGATACCTAGGCATGGTTGGGTTTTTTAAAAAAGGCATGAAAAAATGATAAATGAAAAGCTCATAGCTGCTGTACCTCGGTATTCTCGTCCTCAGCCTGGCTCAGGAAGAAGCCCTCCGCCAGGGCCACCGCCTGGGAACTGCTCTCTGCTCCACACTCCCTCACCCAGTTCGCCATCTCCGCTGGCAGGATGGCCAGGAACTGCTCCAGGACCACCAGGTCCAGGATTTGGGTTTTGGTGCGTTGCTCTGGCCTCAGCCACTCCCGGGAAAGTTGGTGGGGTTGGCTGCAAGCCTCTCGGGGCCCCTCAGCAGCCTGGTAGCAGAGCCGCCTGAAACACTGTTGTGGTATGTCTGAGCTCGCCACATCTTCACGGAAGACCTTCTGCTCCATCCTTCCCCGGAAGCCGCCTCTGCTCCTGGTCTCCGTGGCAGCAGGACCTTCTTCTCCTGCACAGCTACCTGGGTTTGGGTTTGTCAGCACTGATCTATGTGCCAAGGGAAGCTCCAAGGGGGGCCAGAAACACTCTTCTCGCTTGACATGTTGGCCAATAGTACCGCACGACATGGCGCTGCAAAGGGTCTGTGGAGGCAAGAGGAGGTTCTGTTAAGGAATCAGATACTGTCAGAACACGGTGAACGGAGCAGGACTCCCGCGAGTGAACAAGTCTTGTTCGAGGAGCAGGTGTATGTCAGGACTCACAGGGGGACTAGAGACTTGGGGAAGATCCTTCCCTGACCAAACTCTTTCCATTGCTTGAGGATATGAAGATGTCCCCTCTCCTCCACTCACTTAGATAGCTTTTTAAAATGCGGGCCATTCTGGGCAGCTGAATCCAGCCCCCAATAGGTGGCTTGGTCTTGATAGCCCCCCCCCCCCCCCCCC